TGCAGTCATGCTCCGTCATCCCTGATTAAAAGCAAACAATGCTGCAGGCACTCTTGCTTGTACAAATGTATTGTTTTCATGTTCTCAACTCCATAGCGACACATACATTCTGCTCTGTACCCATATTAAATACACCAGTACTCATGCATTGAGGGTGCTTAATGCATTTTTACTTGCTTTTGAATAGCATAAAACTTCAACAATGGATAGCATTTGGATCTTCTTGCATAGAAATGGTGAAATAATGAAACATAATTCATGGTAAAACCTATTGAGGGATTCCCATATAGGTTTACAGCTCAAGTGGATTGCGTCATCCATGTTAATAGAATATAATGGAATAATTACAACTCTAGTTTACGGTCCAAATATCTACATTTTAAATGTAGTGGTGCATTGAATGATTAATCAGGGCCCCTAAGAGTGCCTGAATATGCTACCATAGAGCTTGAGACTGAGTGGCTCTATATGCTCACTACGCAAGTTGCGTAGGCCCGGCAAGTTAAACAAGGGCCCCGTCTCCCCCTCATCTCAAAACAGGTGTCAATGTTTACCACTTTGATGAGAGGATGTAGTGAAAAGAGAAAAGCAACACCATGGGAGTGAATTGCAGGAACAGCAATCAGGTAAACGTGTGTTCTCTTCTCTCCAAGGTTGATGCCAGCAAATAACAGTAACGTTAAGTCGCTGTACGAGCTGTTAGTGCATCTCTCTGTAGTCTGTCTGTCCTGTTAACCCAGATGGATAGTGCATTACTTGGTCCATCTTTGTTTTGTTTGCTCACCAGTCACTTCCAAAGTTGTTATATGACTTTGTGTCTCAAACAAGTGAGAGTGAATTATTATTTATTACATTTAAATAAACGCTAACAGGCAACAGTGTTTATCAACTTGGAAAAGTAAGCACCGTCACACGTGAAACTCCAGTAGCTGCCTCTGGGGACCAGTCCAGAAGATATACGAGTGTTGGCACTCATCATAGGAGCAAATTATTCTATAACAAGACAACGACCATCTAGGATCTCCTTTAGTTACAACTCTGGACTAATGTAAGATGGAAGGCAATGAAGTTCAAATGTTGATTAGCATGGGTGCATGCACCCATATTGCAAGGCAATATGGGTGCATGCACATCTCTCTGTAAAAAACAACCATCAAGTAGCCTATTCAGCCAAGCCATGGTATAAATAGTTTAATGTATAAAAGAAAATATTTTCAACAATTTTGTATTACCTGTTAATGCCAATATTCACTAATCTTAACACGAAGTAAATGTTCTATTCAATAAATTATTGTTTATACCTCTTTCTGTTATGTTGAGATCTTCGTATTCTTAGATCAAGAGACGGAGCAAACTGTTTCAAAGGAGGGGGGATTGTAGTCGGAGCACTGGGGTGTCAGGTGCAACTGTGTGGCAACAGCTAATGGTTTACATGACTCCCGGGTCAGTTGGGACGGCCCCTTTGCAGAATTAAGCTTAGGGCCCCAGGGAGGTCACGGCCGGTCCTGCTTTCAAGGATGATGACCTAATCAGAGTTATGGGTGCTAGCTTTGGTTGCTTTAACATATTTATCAGGACAGAAGGAGATGCATGTTCCTCTTTTTGTCTGATTCATGACTCATGGATTTGTGATTTATGTGGTGTGATTATTCTTTTAGTTTGGTAGATGTCATCATCTGATCCCCGTCTCTTCTAGTCGGCATGTCGAAGTGTCCGTGGGCAAGATACTGAACCCCGCATTGCTCCTGTTTCATCGGTGCGTGAATGTATGTGAATGATTAGATTAGATCCGGATGGGCAGGAGGCACCATTCAGTGTATGAATGTGTGTGTTGTAGTTTAGTTTGTAGTTGTAGCCTACCCTATTAAAACTGTCCAGTAGTTCCTCCAAATATATAGGATAAAATTGAATTTGAATTGTAAAATAACCCATTGGAATGTGAAAACTAATATTTGATTGTGGAAAAGACTGACGTGGCTGTCTGCGTCACATGCACTCAGTGCACCATTTGACGGTGTCACACATCACTTTCATTAATTGAAAATAAAATGTTAAGTTAGATCAAGCTGATCGAGGGATAATTCAACAACAACCTTAATTAAAGCTGCAAGCAGCATTGATCGGGCCCTTGCCTCTTCTGTCAACCTGTAAAAATCTACAAAAAACTGAATGTGTGTGAACGCACTTCAGTAACATAACAGACTGTCAAAGTAAATGCTGGTCTCAAAACCGACTGTTTGTTTGTGCAGGTGTCTCTGACAATCACTGCTGAGAGACTCAAAGCTGGAAGAGTCGAGGAAGAATAGGAGAATGTATAGTTCCATGTGGAAAAAAAAAACATCTTTTTGTAAAGAAATAAGTTTAAGTCAAAAGGTGAGCCAATGTAGAATAATCGATCACATAAATTAGGCTGGGTGCAGTTTGATTTTATTATACAAACTTCCTGTTGCATGAAATTACTTTACATTATGGCCTGGCTCCAAAACGAACAAAAACAATTACATTGCGATGTACGGGCCCTCGCACCTTCCTGCATCTCCGGGGTACTGGCGGGACGCCGGCAGACGCGGCCATACATATCTGCGACCATTGGACAGCATGCGCACAAGTTAGACGTATTTTTAATGCTTGGACTGTGATGCTGGAAATTATGTAGTGCAAATATTCCACCAGTTCCTGTATCCACTATGTGGCGCTAGAGAACATGCGCAAACATGCATTATGTTGCTCTACATCAAGTATAGACCACATCATGTAAATGTCATGTAAATCGGATTCAGTTTGTCACATAACGCTGTCTTCTTGTTGCCAATAGGTGGCGCTATGACTTTGAGTGAAAATTGGCTTGTAGACATCCTCAGGCCAAGACTGTTATCAAGTATGGCAAGTTTGGGACAGATTTGAGCAAGTCCAGTGGAGTTACATCAGCTTGTTTAATGGCGAATCATGTACAATGGCCGCCACGCCACAGCTACACCATTCCATCAAACATAAAGCTTTGAGTATCTTTTAATAGCAAAGGTCTTTAGATTGTTATTCTTTATTTTTGTTGCTAACAAATCCTAAGTGCAGAGCCGTAGGTGTTGCTGTCATGTGTGACAGGAACTTGTGGCTTCAAAACTAGTCCACAAACCAAAGGGTGACGTCACGGTGCCTACCTCCGCTCTTTACATAAAGAATAGATCTCGAGCACTGACCATGAACATCAACGACCCGTCACTGCTTCTGTCGGTCCACCTTCACTCATCCGCTGAGTCTCCTCGTAGATTTTCCATGGAGACTAACTGAGCACGAAGCCCAGATGCAGGACTTCAGCATAGGTCAAAAAACACAAGTGAGGTCTGAGGACTGAGCTGAACAAACATCTGTACAGATGTGCCATTAACCTGAAAGTGCCAGGTGCACGCCTCTACTGTTGGCAATTATTGCCATGGTAACAGCAATGGGGCGTTGTAATCCATTACATCCTTGCCACACACACACACACATGCTGCACTTTTTACCATAGGAAATGAGTATGATGCCACCTCGTGACTGTCAGCCAGACTGTTACTGTGAACCTGTTCAGCTCATCAGTGAGCCATGTGCTCATGGTTATCACATTAATAACCATTCACACCTCCCACTGCGCAGACACCACCTGACCTCGGAGGTTTCATTTAGCTTTCAATATGAATCGCTGGTAACTTGGCTGTTGTGCCTGCACGGTATTATTATCAAAGTATTTATGAGAGAGCAAAAGGTCATTCACAGTGGAGGTTGTAAACAAGCACAGGCTGGTGTCATAAGAGCAATTATTCCATCAGGTGACAGATGGCTGATGTCAGATCAGTCTCAGAGCTTTAGCTCAATATGCAACGCCAGTATATCAATAAATACAATGTTCTACAATATACCGTGCCTGGATCTTTATTGGGATTAGGTTTTATTTTATTAAAACACGTGGATTTGTGTTTGATAAAGAAAAGGTCCACTAATAGCTTTTTCTGGACCTTTCAATTACATCCCATGATCTTCCTCCAAACCCCAGAAATTACGTCCACATACAGGTGAATGACATTAACTTTGGGTAATGTATTTGCCAAATCGCAGAAAGGCTGACACTAAACGTGTCAGCAAAATGTTCACTGACAACACGTTAACACTCTCAACTCATCAAATAAGGTTCTCAACATGGCGACGGCTGAGCTGGCTGCTAGCAGCTAACGGCGCCAACGACGCTAACAGAGCTTTCAGTTCAAACTACGGCGAAAGCGCTGACGGAGCTAACAGTGTTTACCTGAGGGGGAACTGGAGGGTGGGCGCTACCCCTCCGCGCCAACGCCGTCGTTATCAGCTGTAACTGCCGTATGAGAGCAGTGCAGAGCAGTGTAGAGCGGCGGCCGTGGGGCTCGCTTATATGCACTGCCATGCACAAAAAGCATTTATAGCCTCCCTGGCTATGTGGAAAAAGCAAGGCACACGGTGATTTGCTGCTACTTTAATGTATTGTATAGAGAACCTTTTTTACTTCCTGCCCATATCAGAGTAACAAAATTCTCATCGCTTGTATTTTTTTTCTTTTAGCAGCTTAGCTTTAGTTCATTCATGTGTTTTTTGTAGTGTACACTCTTTGCACTCCTTTTTGGATTTTCTCAACCTTATTAATAACCAATTCAAGTCTCGTAGTGCATTTGAAATCCTCACTCTGCATTCCTATTTATCCCCCCATCTCTCTTTTTCCCTCCAACTCAATGCAACAACCCATTTTCCACATCAAACTTTCATCTTTCTCCTCTTATCTCACATTAAGATGTATCTTTCAGAGGGTGCGAGTGTGTTGTGTCTCCCTCAGAGAAATGCAACCAGGCAGAGGTGGAGATGAGACTTGAAACAAAGGAGAGATGGAGTTAACAGCGACAGTGTGTGTGAGAGAGAGAGAGAGAGAGAGAGAGAGAGAGAGAGAGAGAGAACATGTCATCGTGCAATAAAAACAAGTGACAGCACAGAAGGAGGGAGAGCGGGCTGAGAGTGCGTGGAGAGGCGGAGGAGAGTGTGGCGGCATTAAGCAGCTCGGAGATCAGTGGATGCTGACAGAAGCACAGCTGCTGATGGGAAGAGGGAGACAAGAGTGTGAAACAGAGCCGAGGCAGAGGAGGGGAGCAGATACACTGTCCACACTCACCGTCACGGTGATTGGGATGGGAGGACGGCGGCGTCTCTGCAGCTACACATAGGCGGTAAGTTACCAGCACACACCTGCAAGCATCACAGTTTATCATCAGATTCAGTGAAGGTCAGTGCAATGATATTTCAATAGAAGCCTCAGTGTAAATGTGTTTTTCTGAGATGTCAATATTCTCTGCAAATGTCAGACCAAACTCATATTCAAAATGAAGAAACAAATATGGTTGTTTTGTCATTTTTACGGCCGATATTTAATACATCATTCCATCAGTGACATCTCATAACTGCATGTCTACAACATCTTTGTAATTGCTGTCAAAATGCTGCTATAATGCTGCATGTAAGACTAGTGTTCTTTGAAGTACAGAAAATAACAAGTAAATAATAAGTTATTGATCATATTTATACAAGGACATAGGTTCCAGGGGAACACAAACTTAAAGATGTCTTTGTCTGTGTATATAAATATCATTCAATCAATTTGAATGTTTAAATATTACAAATGAAAGGCACACCGACAGTACATCTGTATATAGATACATTCATCTTTCAAATCACATGTATAGCACCATGAATCTTGCCCAGTTGAATGAGATGTAAATAAATAAATTAGGCTCTGAATGATGTATCAACAAACCCCTCGTCTTCATCTACACTTTCAGATACTAGCAGAAAGGTGTTTTTCTGGAAACCTGCACCTCCACCTGAAGATTTTGGCAAACTGCTACACCTCAAACCTTCACCTACAGCCTCTGCCATCAACCTCTACCCGTCGCCAGTGAATTCTGAGAGACAGCTTCAACTCACCAACAACCTGTTCTAGATCTTGCCTTCAGCCTTTGTCACCGACCTGCATCACTGCCTCACCTGTAGATTCTGGCCTCCAGGCTGCAGCCTGCATGTGACCCAAAGAGCACGTAACGTCAAAACAAAAAAAGCAGAGGACACACATTTTAACATTTGCAAGATTAACAGAAGTTCATTAAATGTATCCGTATTGATGACATCAATTCCCTCTTAATATTTACAGATAATTGTAGTTGTCTTCATTTTGAATGGACTTGAGAAGATGATCTGTATCCTGACGATGTTAAGGAGGAACTTTTCTATTGCCACGTGAAGACCTAAGTGAAACAGCAGAGGCCAGGGACACACTCTAAAAATGTAACATTTTAGATAACATACAAATAGTTAACTGTGTCATAATAGTCTGCCAAAGCTGAATAAAGCTGCCTTTGTGTTTAAATTTACACCACCTTCTTCTCCTCACAGGTATCATGTTGAGTGAAGGAAGAACACAAAGCCATCGACATGAAACAACATTATCTGGAGAACGGGACGCTGACGATGAACTTCATCCACCAGACTGAGCTCTTACTCCTCCCACAATGCGCTGCCCTCAAGGTACTGATATCAGTGTAAAATGAACTGAAAGAAGCAGTAGTTCAAAAATAAGTAATGAATATATGATTCGTTGAAACAAAGTGAGCCGATGAGGTTCTTCCATTTGTCGCTGCTATTTCAAGCATCAGTTCAAGAATAAGGCTGATGTGATTTCATTTTTTTATCGTTGACATTTCTTTATTGTCTTTCCCTGTTGTTCAAAAACAGCAATTATCAATTAATTCTATTTTTTTTAAATAATAATAATATTGAATAATACTATTATTAGAAAATATCTTCTTACCATTGATTGCAGCTGCATCCTAAACATTTCAAGTTGATCCAAATTATATTTTTGTAAAGTTATAGGACTAGTACTGTAGTATGTAGCTAGTACACATAGTATTTGGCATATGCGTACGATTACAGTGCAGACATCCACTCGATTGGTGGCGGTAACGAAGCAGGATGTGGTCGCGGAAGTAGAAGAAACCGCAGCAGCGTCACGGGTGTTGTGCCGCCGCCATTTCACTTTTCATTCATTGGTTTCAAGGCCTAAGTCGTCTAATCGGTGAGTTAGAGATTGTAAGGTCAAAGCAAGAGGTGCAATACGTTTTAGGAAGTTGGTAAAGCGCAGCTGTCATCGTGTAGTTGTTTTGGATGTTCTCTGAATGGACATTGGCTGAATTAGCAACCGTACGTTAGTTAGTAAATAGCTAGCTAGCTAGCTAATATGTTAGCTTACTGAATTCATACGTCTTTTTTTTCCAAACTTCAGAACGCCATTACACTGAAATATGGACGAACATGGAAGCGTTGCACACTAAATACATTGCGCAAAAAGACGAGCGAGACGTTTGGACTGTTTGGGCTAGTTTTGTGAGTAATGCAACATACACTGAAAGAGCTAGCTAGCTAGTAAGACGCGCTAGCTTATTTGTGACATGTTTACCTATCTACGTAAGCAAACGCCAGACTGTAGATGGTGTGGAATTCAGACCAACGCTCAGTGTTTCTGAACTACTTAATTTTAGTGAGGAAATTATGTTAAAATCGTATCATAAGTAATCATGCCAACTTGTCAGAGCTAGTCAACAATAAAGGCCAAAGTTGTTAGCTTAGGTGTGTCTCTCGCTTGGAACATGCTACATGCTGTCATTCAAAAGCACGACGGCTACACACTGACTTGTGACCCGAGTTTGACCCTTTCATACACTAAAGTTTTCCTCGGTTTAGTAGATCTTCATCGCCGTTTTGAACGATTAGTTTGGCATGATGTGTCTGTGCCAATGAGTGTCATATTAACCTAGTTCATTCTATGCTAAATTAAGATGGTGTAACATAATATCGCAAACCAGTCCAACATGGCATAAATCTGACACACCAAACCGCAATAGTTTAACTCTTTTAAATCCCTGAAAATTATGTTTAGTTTTTATAGAAACCTTTTACTGACAACTTTGCCTACTCTGTGATGTATTATGTAACAAACGCTAACTACTAAAATTAGATGTGGGCAATTATATGTACATAGATTTAGCTCAGAATACAATTCACTTCATTAATGCATCATCTCTCAGTAGGGATGTCTGTGTCACGATCACGTTTTTTGACCCTTATCCCAGTCCTGGTCTTTTAATATTGGGTATCTGCCGATACTCAATCTGATTCAATATCTTATCTATATTTAACCAAATGTTGATTTAAATGTGTATGTGACACTGTAATAACTTACGTCACCATCTAAATTCGGTCCATCTTATCTTGATCTCTATCCAAATGCTGAAGGTCCTATTTCAAAACATTTTCAAACTGTAATTGATTGATCCGTTAACATTACCGTTATGGTATATATAAATGCTAAAATGGGAGACTGCGACACATTGCACAATGCTCACATTTCCAAGACACGATCTTCTAGTAATCGTTACTGTCAGAGTTGAGTAAAAGCATATAGTTTGCCAAGCCAGCTGTCAGAAGAGTCAAATGGCAGTGCTGCCAAATACATTTTCACGTTCTCACACCGTTGTTTTCACTCGTATGTTGAGCAAAATGCTCGCAGGGTTGAGTCTGGCTGCAGCAAGAGAGCAGCGTGCTGCAACACTAGCAGGCTGAGGTGACAAAAATACAGTCAAGCACAGAACAGAAAGGGTCGGAATGTGATCGGATTCATTTCAACAGATACTGAGGATACATTAATATAGGCCTGAATTGGCCGGATGCCAATCGTGAAGATCGACCCAGAACATCCTCGTCCCTCAGTCAACAAATCATGTTCAAAACAAAAAAGAAAAATGGTTCAGTTAATACTTAACTACTGCACACGTTTTTGTATTATAAAAATCATGAAAACTTTTAAAATTCAGATCCAATGAATTCATCATTGTGAAAACCACAAATCTCAATTCAGGTGTTGCTTTCTAATGATTAAGGAGCGACACCACACCTAAATGTGTCCCCTGGTGCTGCTGTCTAAGGTTTCATGAACATTTTTGGATGGCAGGTTATAAATGTATTATCCTTCAAGTGTTTCTATTATATTGTCCACGCTATGTCAGCAAGGGTAGGCTAAATAACACACTCTGTACAATGCAGTCGAGTTCAACAGCACCACAAGCTTCATCCTCTAAAATGATAATACAGTTGAATCAATATCTCCCTAAAACGGTTTGAATAAAAACTGAACATAGCGAAATACCGGTATTGATGATAACTTTAAACTGTTTTTTATTTATTGTGCAAATCTTGCTTTTGTACAGTTTTATGGTTACAGAATCTCTCCACCTCACTATACTGGTACTTTGGGTATAATTAATTTGCCAAAAAAAGAGACAAAATGCACAATAAAGTTAAAAATGAAATTTACATTGTTTTTATTTTTTTAAATTTTCTATAGATAATAATGTCATTATCCTGATTTCTTTAGGCCACGATAATTGTGTTGTGAACATCTGATATAGGGACGGCCCTAGACTGCTATAGTTTTAGCTAGATATTTAATATTATTTAATAACCGCACCGCCTCACATCTCTATTAATCTCATCTCATTAAATATTGGTTGTGGTTTTACAGTAGTAATCAGCATATTTTTTTTAATCTTCTAGGATACACCGAACTTCATCATGGTGAAAATTTTTATTGGCAACCTCGCCTGCAATTCCGCACCCGAGGAGCTGCGTGAGCTCTTCGAGAAGTACGGAAAGGTCTCAGAATGTGATATTGTCAAAAACTATGGTTTCGTACACATGAGCAACGTGTCGGAAGCAGAGGAGGCCATCCGGAACCTCCACCAGCACCAGCTAAACGGCTGGCGCATGAATGTGGAGATGAGCAAAGGGAGGCCCAAGTCCACCACCAAGCTGCATGTCAGCAACCTCGGCGAAGGGGTAACCACTGACGTCCTGCGGGCCAAGTTCGGGGAGTTTGGCACAGTGGTGGAGTGTGACATAGTGAAGGACTACGCCTTCATTCATATGGAGCGAATGGATGACGCCATGGACGCCATCAGTAAGCTGGACAACACCGCCTACAAAGGTGAACTCTTTGGCGAGGGAGAGCTAGTTGTCTTTGCTGTCTATAAATACGAATTTTGGATTATTTTCTGTCGCTGTAGGGCTCTCATGACAAGTAGAATCCACCGGCTTTTTTCAACATTAATTGACCAGGTGGACTGAAAGTAATCGCTTTAAACTTTGTCAATGTCTCTTGTAAAACCAGTGGCAGTGAGGAACAGGGCAGAAATCTCCTGCCCATGGCGCGGCTCATGCCTTTGCTCACTGATTACGGTGTTTTTATAGTCGGTAAGAGCCGCTTGGTGTCAGAACCCCACGGTCTCATGCGTGTCTTCTCTCTCCCTACAAGGCAAGCTGATGAGCGTACAGCTGTCCACCAGTCGGCTTCGCACCGCCCCGGGAATGGGAGAGCACACTGGCTGCTATGTGTGCGGGAAACATGGTCACTGGTCGAAAGATTGTCCTGTCAGTCGGAACGGTAGCAACGGCGACGACACAAGAGGCCGGGGCGGCCGAGGCCCCCCACGCGGCCATGGTTATGGCAGGGGCGGCTACGAGATGGCATCTGCAGCAGCTGATTTCATGGGCGACTCTGCGTATAGTCGTGCGAGTTACGTAGGTGGGATGCCGCCTCCCCCTCGCAGGCTCAGCGGCTACAGTGCTGAGCTGGGGGATCGGTACGCCGGCAGGGGAGCAAGCTCCTATCCGGAGAGGTCACCAGCTTACGACCGTGGCCGCCTCTACAGCAGTGTTGACTATTATGAGAAGTTCAGAGCTCGCCCTTACGGCTCGAGCTATTTCGAGGATCGTCGCATGTCCTATCTCCCCCCTCCCCCACCTCCCCCCTCCTCCCTCTCAAAGCTCTCCTCCAGTATAGATCCATATGACCGTCGGTCACTGCCTTCGTCCTCATCAGCTGCCGCATACTATGCACGGGACCGCAGCCCGATCAGACGAGTGCCGGTCTCCTCGTCGGGCTATGAGCGAACACGCCTGTCACCGGGGTCGGGCTCCCGGAGCTCCTACGCTGCTCCACGGCCCAAGGATCATTACGCGCCACGCTATGCGCATTACTAAAGCCCTCGTGCCAAGGTGAGCAACATAGTAACCAATGTGTGACAATTTATTAGTTCTCCGAACAGTGGGACGTTTAAATGTAAAACGGTACTGGTCAGTGGGCACTGGGATCCCGGAGATCCTTTGTACCTTGGATTTTTTTAGGGTATTGAATCCTTTGAAGCTGTGCTATAGTGGGGGTTTGACCCTGTTTCTGAAAAGGGAATTTGCTCTCTTTCTAGGTCTGTTTGTGAACCGCAAGACTTTCCCCTTTGCCGTCATTTCTTCAAGCGCCGTGATTCCATCGGTCTGCGCGAGGTGCGGAAATTAAGATTGGAAATTGTGTCGGCATCTTCCGAGCACCTGAGATGCCGGTTGCCTGCGGATGAATTGTTCTTTCAATCGCATTCACCTAACCTGTTTTCAATAAGAATGAACGGCACCGTTTGACATTCATGATGTATAAAACAATATGCTCACTCGCTCTGCAGGATCCAGCTCAGTTTCAAGCCATGTTCCTTTTTTGTTTCTTTGTTAAATTCAGCAAATGTCAATTGTTTGGCTTCAGTTTGTCATATAGAAGAAGTGTTCTTGTTTCAATATATGAATATGTACTTTCCTTTTTTGAGTGGAATGAGGGTTAACCTGTGCTGCATCAGTTGCTTGTGGTGCAGAAGAATCTTGTCGTGCTTCTAGACACACATGGACTTGATATACATCGGTTATATGGATAAATATAAATGTTTTTTCAAAAATGATCATCATTAGTGTCTTATCAATGTGCTGTGAAGGTGAGGACACGGTATGTTTCGTCACAGCATAAACCGTTTAAAGGGTGAAGTACTCGGTAAGCGTTCTAGTGGTGGGTGAGGAAAAGAACCTGCTCTCTTTGGCCTCTGTAGCACATGAATGGACTCAGTGATTGACACTGAAGACGACAATAAAGAACTTAAAACCATATCCATGAAACTGAAGTGGCTGAGGACACAGAATCACACTTTGAGTTAGTACCTATTTCAAGACAAATAATCGCAAACATTCCAGCCTTTATTTGAATGTGTCTGCAAAATATAACATTCATACTTTTTTATAACAAATTGTCTGCTGATCAGAAGTTTAAAAAAATAAAAATAAAATTGAATACAATTTTTTGAAAATAAGAACGGCAGCTGACATGCACTGGGCTGCTAACACAGGAACACATTGACTGTGTTTTTGTCCCACCGGTAATGGCAACAGAAAATATCCCTTCATCTGGTGAGTTTAAGTTTGGGATAGATGTTCATACTATCTAGCTACAGTAATGTGAGGCAGGACTCGGGGAGTGTAAATCGTGAGGCACTTGTTTTGTTGAAGGTGCCTTTCGTTTGTTTTTGCATATAGGTGGATTTGAGGTTTGTATTTTTCATACTAGCTGTAAAAGTACCAGCATGATTACAAAATCTAAAGTGAATACGATTTTTAATGAAGCCAAAATTATTTTGGTGACACTTGACATTCTTCTATTCTTTGTTTGGAACCTGATTTAATGGTGTCTGGTTGTGGGTACAGGTCATGGTTCAGAACTTTGGAAAGTCCTTCAAACTTAACCCTAAGTGAGCAATATGGATCAAATTGAATGTCAGTGTGTATTTTTTAATGACTAAATATTCTTTGGACAACAACCATTTGGAATGTTACTGTCAGACCACGGTATAAACGGTGTGGAGAAATCTACAGTAGTGTCTATGCAACATTTGTTTAGATCAGTGGTTGCCAGTATGGGGGGTGGGAACTCCTCCAAGGGGTCTCTAAAAGTATTGGTACAGGAAAGAAGAAAAATGTTTAGTTTCCAGTCTTTTCTTTAACCTTTTAGATATGATGACAGAGAATACAAATCTATGTTTAACAGTTATGGCCATAATTAAGGGCTACTTTTCTTCAACAAGTGCTTCTATTACATTTTATTTTGTCAGCTATTAGAAAATGCATCCTAGTCTTCAGTTATTTTAATAGTTGTTCGAACAGCGCACGCTGAAGAAATGTAAATATATTGCAAATATACATAAACAAGAAATGTTTCCAACTACATTATAAACTTGATTTCTTTATTTTGTCAGATGAGGTTGCGCTTCAACAACTGGATTTACGGTAGAGTGCTAGACCCAAAATCTATTGAGCATAAATACTGTAATTGTAGCACATCCCTATCTCGTTCTTTAAACTTCGTTTCTTTGTTAGATTAGGGCCGCCAAAAGGTTTGGCCCAAATATAAATGACATGGGATGTGCTTTATTGCATTCTGCTTATTTTCCTCTGTGGTTTCACTGTTTCTGTCTCATCTCATCACATGAAGGCGTAGCACTAAATGTAACGTTAGCACCTCCCTGTTATACTCAGTTTATGGTCCCTCCCATAGACGGCCTGCGGTCCCTCCCAAAGGTGCTAACCGAGTTAGCTGTATGTCTTTGGCATGGTGTTTTCATGGTCACGAGCTAGCTACGTCAATGTCAGTCGGTAAAGCGACAGTCGTCATTTCATTCTCCGAGGGTCGAGGCGCACACCGCAGCTTAAAAAAGGTAGCAAATCATTTTAATGCAACACAGTGAACCTAAAAGTGTCTTTTTTTTGGAAATAAGCCAATGTTCTCCAGCTACTAATGCTAGCTAGGCCTATAGCAAATGTGGTTTTATGCTAAGCTAATTTACAGACTAGCTATAAGCGTGCAGCGTGTTTAGTTAAGGCCTACACGCGTGATGAGAAATAACTTTGCTATCGACTAAAATCCAACATGTTATGGCTATAACGTTAACTGTTAAGCCACCATTTCGGTAATTCTGCTAACTTGGCTAACGCTACTTTAGTTAGCAACTAACGTGAACGTAACGTTAACGAAAGTACCGTTGTTGAAATGCAGAGCCACGACGCGCAGCGTATGCTGACGATGGAAAAACGACAGATATATCTTAGGTGTTCGACCTTTGTGTGTCTATGTTGAGTCATGTCATTCATACGTGCTGGTAACGTATACCTATCGATACTCGCCAAAGATATACGTTGCAAATCCGTTCTGTGTTTTGCAGACAATACTAGCTAACGTACTTATAAACTCTCGATCGGGATTTGCACAAAAGGATCTCAATTTACCGCTAAATAGCGAGCCAGGTCACAGGAACAGCTATGAGCTCCACATTTTCTAAACATTTTATGTTTAGAAAAATATGTATTAATGTGTTCCTCATGTATGAATGTGACTGGATGCCATCTGGTTAATTAACATGATCCTTTCTTTCTTTTGAGGAGTTTGATGGTTGATTTATTGTTAAACCTCCACATACAGCACAGTCTTCCAGCTTATAAAGGTATTGATGATAATTGAACAATAACCTCATGTCCTGTGGGTATAATGTGTATCAAGTCGTGTTAGTGTACAACCAATGATAATACATATTTAATTCCAGAAGAAGTGATGCATCTTTCTTATGTGTTACATTTGTTTCCACATACTCACCAAAATCTGCTATATTTCTTTTTCCATTGTCATATATTGTTTAGTGATTTGAAGTTGTTTAAAGGATGAATTTAAATGGTCCTCGGTTATTCATCGTTTGAAGTGTCCTTGTAGAGTTTTATGTGGCATAAAGAAACAGTGAACTTGAAACATCAGTCCAAACAAAAGAGTTATGACACTGAATCTGTGGTAGCAATGCAATTTTATGTTTCTTCCATGTGAATTGGCACAGAATCAAAAAATGAAGCATGAGACACATTTATTTTGATGGAATCTGCAGGTATATATATTGATTTTGCAAACCTTTAACACATGACATACTTGATACATCTGAATAATCCTTATTACTGGAGCCCAGCCAATACTGGAATTTTTGATACCAATAATATTGGTATTTGAGTTATAAAATCTATAAGCGACTTATCAGATGAATTTTATTTTTTTTAGCATAAACATCTGCCTTGATATTCATTCTTTGAATTTGGTTACTAAATAATTGAGATCAAGATATACTTTTCTGTTGAAAAATGAACTTGTCAACAACTTGACAAAATATGTAACGCCAATTCTTAAGGGCTTTCCCTACTTGGGTGTAAATACAACAGGGAAATTTGCTCAATTCATAAATGTATTGTAATGGAATATGATACTTACAATCTTGATTTATTTTCTCCTCCCTTAGTGACGTGGAAGCTCCACGATGGTGAAAATATTCATTGGGAACTTGTCGCCGGACACCACATCAGATGAACTTCGCTCTCTCTTCTCCCAATATGGCAAGATTGGAGAGTGCACTATTGTCAAGAACTTTGGCTTCGTGCACATGGATGACAAAGCGGAGGCGGAGGAAGCCATCAGCAACCTCCACCATTATGAGCTGAATGGCATGCCGATGAATGTAGAAATGAGCCGCAGCAAGTCGAAAGGATCCACAAAACTGCACGTCGGCAACATTGGCTGCACCAACCAGGAGCTGAGGGCCAAGTTTGAAGAGTTTGGCTCTGTGGCGGAGTGTGACATAGTAAAAAACTATGCTTTTGTTCACATGGATCGTATGGAGGATGCTGTGGAGGCCATTAATCAGTTAGACAACACAGCTTTTAAAGGTGAACTCTTGGGCTGGGGTTAATAGGGAGTTTTTATTTGAAAGATGTATTATCAAGAATGTCATTCTGTTCTTGTGGTTTGATGGGTAAGTAATCGACACACCACAGGTAAGTACAAAGAGACAACTGAAGGATAACGGGAAGCTGAAGAAAGCGAGGCAGCGCTTATTATTTTAAAGCTGGCATCCGTAAAGTCGTTGGTTTGTCTGGATTCTTGTAAAGCACAAATGGGCACTTACTGCAATTTACTGACTTATCAGGTCACACCTGTTCTAATTGGTAATGCAAGTACATTCAGTGTAATACTAGAAGTAATGACTAACCATGATTGTATTTTTACAAATCCAATTCAACTGCACGGGCCCATTAAGGGCTGAGAACAGGTGTGCGCGTGGTCCCGTTTGGTCTTTATTTGGTTTGTGCACGCTATGTGCGAACCTTTGGCGTCACGGGCGAATATGACGAAATCTTCGTCATGTGGACCCTTGAATAATTTGTGTTGTCAAACTTTGCTAACGTGTTTTAGCATTAGCTGATAGCTCTCTTGCGTGCAACCTTCTATCACATCTCGGTCTTTTCTGTGGTATCGACACTGTCGGGAGTTCCCTTTTGCCACTGCAGTGGGTAAGAATGTTTGGGAAGTTACGGATTTCAGCTTTAATACCTTTTTTAAATGCTTAAATCTTAAGTCATATCTCAGTGCTATTTCTTTTTAAATGCAGCTTTTTACCAGACTGATTGGTTAGGAGACTTTTGTATGCCAGACAAGAAATGTCAAATATTTGGATGCAGGCATAAGTCCTTATTGAGTCTTTTCTTTTTAAGGCAAACTGATGAGCGTGAAGCTTTCGACTAGCCGCCTCCGTACTGCGCCGGGAATGGGAGACAGATCGGGTTGTTATCGTTGCGGGCAGGAAGGCCACTGGTCCAAAGAATGCCCTCTAGACCAAAATGGCTTCCACAGAAACGGCTCAGAGCCAAAGTCTGATGGATACGATGACTCGAGATTTGGCGAGCATGCTCGCAACAGGGGTTATCAACCGGACTTCAGTGGCGACCCAGATTATGGCGGCGGCTATGCTCCTGCTCATGGTTTTTCCCGGGGTGCCGGTCACGGCGGCAGCATGGCGGGGTACGGAAGGGGTTCGGGCTACGAGAATGCAATGAGATACGGGCCGCACCCCGGTTACGGCTTAAGCGCTGTCGCTGAACATAGCATGGCTCGGATGTACGGCAGCGAGGCAGCATACAGGAGCAACGGCTCGCTCTATGGCGCGGTACCAGCCTACCCGATGCGACGGTCGCCTTACGAGGAACGGGATCCGTACGGGGTCGTGGACTACTACGAGAAGTACAGGGCCAATGCTTACGGAGGCAGTTATTTCGAGGAACATCGCGCCGTCCCCTTGCCTGCTCCATCAACATCATCCTCCACAGCTTTAATGAGGGATCGTCTGCCCCCCTCTAGCCTCGACCCATACGAGTGCCCCCCCCACCCTGCTCCACCAGCCCCGGTCTCCTCATACTACGCACGTGACCGAAGTCCGATTCGGAGAGTCCCCGTCGAGGCAGATGGATACGCATATGAGCGCTCGCGCCTTTCCCCGGTGCCCGCCCCCCCAAGGAGTTCTACCTATGACCATCCGGGCGCTGATCGGGCACGATATACATACTAATCCATGTCCCACGATGCCAGGCGAGAGCTGCCTGTCATTTAGTGGATAGGATAGCCGAAGTGCCATTGGAATCACTGAAAATGAAACGTTAAACATAACATCTCATTAGTAATATCACAGGCAAAAGTGTGTACGTGAGGAGTGGGTATTAAGAATTAGGCTACAATAAAGCTTACCAACCGTAATAGCCAACTAGTAGATTTCAACGTGAATGCTTGAATGCCCTCACATGCTATGATCTCATTCTAGGTACATCAAAATACAGTACAACTAACACTTGACACAAGTTGACCACCTTTCATTGTCCTATTCACGTGTGGTGTTATTGGTGCAGTGCAGATCCTGGGTTCATCTACAACCTGGCTGACATCTATTCATGAGAATGAATCTTTGCCCCTCTGAAAGAAGCTCTGTTTATACACTATGTAGTCTGAATAGAAACAAATTAAAATAGTGCATGGTGCATGTTTTAAAGGTTAGTCACTATTAATTGGATTTAACTAATACTTTTTTCAGCAGCATCTATGTGCGTTTTAGTGTACTTGTGTTTGTGTAAGTTAACATTGTTACTGCATACATGAAGCAATGGCAAAACAAGTTTTGAGTACTGTATGCTTCATCACCTACATTGTTTAACCTGTGGGCTTAAATGTCACACCTGTACCCAAATATGGACCTTCATCGTTAAAAAATGGTGACACTTTAGTATTTGAGTTACAGCAAACCTTTTGTGAAATCAAGAACTTTTTATCAAATATAATTGTGAACATGTTTTTTTTTGTCAATAGGCACATTAAATAGATTTTCATTTCCGTGATGAATATGAACCTTCACATTTTGGATATATGTTGGAGTTTCATGATGCTGTCTTTCTTAATTTCTAACGACAAGATTAAAATTAAAGTCTGTCTAAAGTCTGAAAACTGACTTGTGTCTTCATTGTGCTGAGTCATCTGGTATATTGTGAAATGGCATTTACAGTCAAAGTAGTGCAACCGTCAATCAAAACATAAGCTGGGGGTCGACCACCTTGGGGGGAAAAAAGGAAAAGACCATATAGACTGAAGTGTATAAGGACATAATAAAATAGGGTGACAAATGTGGTCAGCGGGTTAGTTTGCAGATACAATAACATTGGCATGCACCATGTCTTACTCATTTGGGTATCACTAGCCACATTAGATACTGTATTCATATTCATCAATATATTAATTTTTATATTGAAGGTGTGAACGGCAAGCGGTCTTTAGCCAAGACACTGTGATGCTGGTAATGCTTTGCTATAGGACACTAAGTTCCAATTATTTCATTCTGATCCTTGACGAGCTCTAATAAATGCTTTTCCACTGTTACAATTATTGTATAATTATTACAATTATTCTGTTTGGATTGTATTTGCACTGGTGGGATAGAAAGTGCCTTGCAATTAAAACAACAAAACCAGATGATTTAATAAAGAGTATTTTCATACGGTTGTATACTTAGGAATATGTTTTAATTCACTGTTAAAAATATAGTGCCACAACATTTTAGGAGCTTATTGTGCTTTTCAGGTTTGGGTAGAAACATAAGGAGATTGATATTGAAAAGAGCTAATCAGTGTTCAGAATGGGGATAACAAAAAGCTTTGCCCAATAGAACACGGCCTATGGGGAGGGGCTTGGTCTGGCCAATAGCAATGCTTCATACTACAGCGGATCATCCCCCATCGGCCATGGACTCATCTTTTGTGGGTTTCCGTTAGGCGCCATTTTGATTAAAGTAATGTGAGGGTGGATTGTGGGCAACGCTGTATAATATTGTTTTTCTCAATTTAATCACATTTATACCGGAGTCGACTAGTTTAACGGAGACTAATACGTTCGAGTACACTGAAAATGGCCACGGGCGCAAACGCAACTCCTTTAGGGAAGTTGCACCCCAGCATTGGCGCTAAACGAGGATTTGACGCCGGGCCTGGTGCGGGGAACGGGATGATGCCAGCACCGGGGCCGCCCGCAGCCTTTCCTTCTCTACAAGCTTTCCAGCCCCCGATGCCAAGCGTATCTTTTCCACAACCTCTTCAGTTCAATCCTGCGGCAGCTTTTCCGACCCAGGCTCCACAACAACCAGTTGTGGTTGGCGGATTGGCCAAACCAGGTAACCGAACCACGGCTAACGTGACAAAACATGCGTAATGAGTTTAAGCTAGCCATGTAGCGAATGTAGCTAAGTAACATAAAGGCCGCACATAAAGCATCGGCCTTGCACAAAATGGAGAGTCCCGCTAACGTTAGTTTGCATGTACATTTTGCTGAATATCCCACTTTACATTTGCAATAACCAGTGTTAAGATTTGCACTTGCACCTCAAACGTAACGTTAAACCGGCCATGAGCCTAATAAAGGGACGTAACGTTAGCTATGTTAACTTGCTGCGCCGTGCTAGAAGTTAACGTCATGTCGTTATTGACAGAAGATCGAGCCTTGTCGAAATCGTTTTGCATAAAAACTCTAACCATAGTTGTGTAAACCATGGTATGGGCTTAACGTTTGAAGGCCTAATGGTCGCATTTGACTTATCTCAAGTTGGGTATGACGACCGTTATATTCAGTCCGGCTTCTTGTGGCTACTAGTGGTTCATGAACGTCACAAGTTCCCTCCGCTGTTAACGTCACTTATCGATAAGCAAGATGCGTTGAATGGCGCTTGAATTCATGTCACGTTACATCCCCGTCACCTATTGAAGTTCTACATCCAACGTGGATAATATCCCCCGTTTCTCCCGGTAGATTTCAGTTCGAAGAAATCGAGGAAGAAGAGTCGTTGGAGCAGCGAGACGCCCGATCAGAAGACGGTCATACCTGGCATGCCCACTGTTATCCCCCCTGGATTGACCCGGGATCAAGAGAGAGCCTATATAGGTACATTTTTAATTTGAATGATTAAAAGATAACTGTAATCATAAGAGCAGGTCTGTTTCATAACCTGTTTGATCAATAACATGTGTTTGAGGTTCTAGTTGTCTTACATGGTGCACACGAGTATTAATTTAACATTTATGTCCTGTTTGCTGATTTTCCAACAGTTAGAGCTCTCTAAAGGCACCCACGAGACGCGTTACTAACTATAAGCTATTTATCATATTTTCAATGTATTGAATGTGGCATTACTATGTCACGCAAAATGGGAAATGTCTAATTTTGCTCCAACTGTTGAGATAAAGCAATCACATCCAATGAGCAATGATAATGTGATGATGTAAGGTGTTAATTAAGGATATTTCTCTTTAATGAAAGTGCTTCTGTGGTCTTATGGTTTGCATACCATTGGGCACCCATTAGCAAGAGGAGTTTGAGCTAGATGATTTAAATGCCAGTGCTTGCTTGATATCTGTCCTGAGCTGCAGCTCACTACTCACCGTCTTGCTTGATCCCCTACACATCATCAGTATTGTTCCTGTGCATGGAGGCGTTACTCATAATGTTTAGGACATGCCAAAGTGTGCTTCTGTTTCTATTGGTCAAAGTGTGAGCAATGCTGCTTCAACGGCAAATCAATCCAACATGTTTAAGTTACTCAAGCAGGTGATTTAGTGGACACTGCAAATTGGGAAACTCTTAATCACTGTTATTGTGCTCTTACTTTGGCCTGTAAAAAAAAAAAAGATCATATGAAACGCATCATTTTTAATCACAAATGCCTTCCAGTAGCAGTGTAGCACCAACATACTGTCTTCACAGGCCCTCAACAGGGTGTTCTGAAGCAGATACGTCCTTTTTGTCAATAACTGACATCGTTATTGATTCTGTGCGCTCATTGGTAATGGTTGTACTTCTTTGGTATGTAAACATTCATTTGTGCCCACCTTCTGTTGGTCACACATATTGTTTCCTTTGCTCATTCAGTAGATCCCCTAAAACAGTCCAAGGGAAGCGTTGTTAGGATGAAATTGCTGTCAACCAAAATTCACAGGGCCTGTATTCATCTCTATAATCCAAATTAATTGTTTCAGTGACTGGTGAATCTGTGTTTTGGGGGTATTCATTGCAGCTTTCATAATGTGCATGGGATGACTGATTAATTTATTTTCTCATTGCCTTCTAAGTGTAAGAATTGTCTGTCACTGCTGCCCCTCTGTGTTAGATCTGTGGAGTGCAACTAGTGACTACGATCAGCTTTTTTGTTGTAGAAACGTGTTAAACAAATAGACCAATCAGTGATCTTCAGACCCGATGTGTCCTTAAAATGCCAAAGCCGTTAAACCAAATATGTTATGTATGTGAAGCTCGTCTTCATGGAAGAAAAAAAAGAGGTTTGAAATAATGATGGATTGGCAGGCATTTTTAGGAATGGTGGTCGAGACATTAACTGATATGTTCCATGTTGAATCATTGTCTGAGAAGAAGTTAGTCCGGTCTATGCTAATGTCAATGACCTGGAGAACATATTGACATTGGGTAATGTGTTCCTCTGATGTCCTCTCATATGAATAAGTGATTTCATGCTTTAGTCTTACCAGATGTTCATTTGATCTCCCCTTTATTTCTGATTTAACAGACTCACCATTTGTCTTTACCTCAGTAATGTATGAGACAGTGCTCTAATGTGCAGAGCGTTGTCTCTCTGATGTTGTTGTGGTAACCACATTTCTCTCCATCCTTGTTTTTCTTTCCTAACCTGAATTCTTCCAGTCCAACTGCAGATTGAAGACCTGACTCGTAAACTGCGTACAGGAGACCTGGGAATCCCTGTTAACCCTGAGGACAGGTCGGAAAAAGATTAAACCCATGAACAGTAACATTTTCTCTACCTTCTTGACTTTTTGGAAGAAAAATGTTGATTTTCAGTGTATATATGTGGTTGTTAGCCAACATCTCAGACTCCACAGTAGTGTTAGCTGGCAGATGTAGAGTTTAGTGAAACCAGTTAAAAATGTTCTTCATAGTGTCGGAGCGTAGAATCCATCCACATGAATCCATTTATTAAGCTCACCATTCCCTCGCCGCTGAGCATTATAGTTTGTATAGCTTGTTTAATCTTCATATTTAGGTCTATACACATGTGTGAGCTAAATATAGATATGGTTACCTACAGAGTGAGGACTTTTGATAATTGGAAATGATTAACAATTTAAAACTGTACAGTAGAGTGCAACATTTTGTAGAAATACTATTTTTTGACCATCAGTCGCTTTACAATGAATGAGATCTATTCATACGTTTTCCTCAAGAAAATGAGACGGTGTTTGCAATTACATTGAATGAAAACATTCTACTACAGTTTGTTTTCAATTTAATTAGAAAAATATTTTTTAAAGAAATATTGCATCAAAAGCGATCTGACATTTGAAACAGTTAGCTGTCGGTAAACAATGGAGCCTTCAATCGAATCTCTTGGTCTTCAGAGGAGGAAGTCAGCTCACAGCCAAACTACCATCCTTCAGCTGTTTGTGTTCAGCTTTTTCTATTTTTATTCATTTGTTAATCAATTTAATCTCAGTTTCATTATGATGTATTGACAGACTGTTTCAATCTTGGACAAACAAATAATTGAATTGCGATCGTTTTGTAAGAGATAGTGTCAGATGTGGATGGGACTGACTGCGTGGGCAATAGTATGTTGAGATGTTGTCACATTCAGCTGAGACGGTTAAGCAAATCACTGCCAGAACAAAGATAACCGTCTTTTTCTCTGATTATTTCTCATTTGACTTGACTGTTAAGTGGTCAGATTTAGCCCTCTAGTATTTATACATCATTGCCCACCCACTGCTTGTTTAATGTGTCTGATGTAGAGTGCTGTGTCAATATATATGAATACATACATGATGCATACTGTATAAAGATTTTCCTCTGAAACAGGTTTGGGTCACAACACTCTAAATGTAATTTTTTTTTTAGCGTTAACGTTGAAATTGTTCTGATGAATTGGCTCTTTTGGAAACGTTAGTTGGTACACAAAGGATCTCAAGTCCCGTCGATTGATATTGCCATTGCTGACTTTTTTTTTTGACTTACTGGATGTTCTCTAACTTTTTGCCAGTGATGATTGGGCTCATGGCCTGTAGCCTACATGACAACATACAATAGGTTTTGGTTTCGACTTAACAATGATTTGTCACTCGTCATCTCTGGTTTTTCCCCTCATGTGGCTTTAAGCATTTCCACCCGGAGGGGGCGTGTTCCAGTTTTCCCTCTGGACTCTTGAGGTCTGGAAGAAAACTGCTAGAATTGTATGTGCTCTGGAAAAGCAGTGGCCAGCTTCTAAGCTAGTTTCCATAAGGATCTGTTCCCACAGGATGTGGCTCTCTCTAGAGTGTGTGAAGTTGACATTTTGTTAGCTAGAGTCCCTGTCGCCTGAACACTGTATATAGAGTTTCTCTCCATAATCAGACATTTCCACAGCAACCAAAAAGTTGATTGCAGAGCTGCAGCACTCTCAATCACTCCCCAGTCTAAAGTGACAACTGGGGGTGTTTCAGGTTGTCACCGTTGGAAGCTTGAAGCATAAAAGGAAAAAAGCGCATATATATATATATATA